GCACGTGACAGTAACCAGTGATGTTGGAACATCAAGCTCTGGTCTTAAGCATGTTCTTACATAGTTGCTATCACTGCTATTCTTCAAACATGCCTTGTCATTAATGATAAAATGGACCCCATGGAAATCACGGTTTAAATGTTGTTAACAGCATTTCAGAAGGAATTCTTCTGACAGCAGAAGTCAGCTGTTCCATCTGGTCCATTTGAGAACAAAAAAGAAATATTTGCTCAGACTTCAGAGGGTCATTTTGGAATAAAAGAGGAAGATAAAAGGAGGAATCTTCTACAATATGAGTTAGCAAATCAAAGCAAAGAGGGATTCCACTCCCCGATAATCCAAAAGAAAAGAGACCATTAGAAGACGCATACAGTACTGCTTTTTCTAGGCAATGAGGTTATACTTCATGCCAACAAACTATATGCTGACAATTAAAACACAGAACACTTAATAAAAACAGAAGGGGAAAAAAAATATTAATTCCAATAAAAGCCAGTGGTAACTGCAGCACCATGGACACAGCACTCAGTGTTTATCAGCACCCTTTATTTCAAATATTTCAAATATATTTCAAAGTGTTCCGAAGCATTAATTTCAATCATTCAGAAAAAATAATCTGTTATCATTTCCTCTTGTTCTGGAAATTATTAAGAAGCTGTAAATCTCTTTGCTTAATTGTTGCTATTTAATAACTAAGGGTTTATTTTTAAAAACACCTCCACCACTGGAGTCTCCCCCTTACTCCTAATACAATGTCTAAAAGGCTCTGTACCACCCTCAAGATGTGATGGAGAGAGTAGAGGATTTCACAACACGGATTTTTTCAGGATGGAAATACACTTAATAACAAATAGGAAGTGCTTCTTGTTTGCAATGTAAAGCTTTCTTTTAGTGCAAGCCCACCATATTAAATCTAAAATGACATCAGTATGCCATTGCAGGAAAGCAATTATTTTATATGTTTACAGACATAACCAACGCTTAACTAATTAAAGGTGTTTTCACCACTCCAATAAAGAGGTCCACGAAATGTGGGGAAGAGCCATTAAAACATCAAGAATTATTGTTATGCTGATTCAGACAATAACAGGATCACAAATGTGCAATGTTAGCAACGGCTTACAGCCAGAAATACGTGTGCTCAGCTGGATCCACAGTAACGCTGAAATTAAACAAGTACACAAACACAGAGCGATACCCTTTTGGTAGCTGAGGCTCAGCTACAAGTAGCATCGATTTTTCACTGCCTTAAAATGCAAATAAAACAAAAAACCCAAAGAAGTGAAGCAGAGACCAGGAGACAATGGGGGAACAAACTGATTAGAGAGAAATAAACCAGTGAGAAGTCTAACGGAGAGAAGCATTATTGCTGCAGATCAGTTTTCTATTTCACTTTTACAACAGAACAGGCCACAACAAGCATTAAACAAAGCACTGAAGGGCCAAGTTTTATCACAAAAAACACTGTGTATTGCATTCTTTAAACTGTTACAGATCATTTTACAGGTGAGATCTGTGACAGCTCATAACACAAACGGCTCTGCTCAATCTGCATCTTCTGCTCCTAAGAGTTCTCATGTAGCAAGAAAAGAACAGTCACCCCCACACACACTGCTATCTTATTCTATATTTCTGCATGCATCTGCTGCAGATCAGTTTTTCTTTGACATTTGTATAACTTTACTGTTTGAACATCAGGCCTCAATGTGCTTTCATTTATTATTTTTGTTTCTTCAAATGGGTAGTGACAGTGGTTAACTCCTACAGTAATCTTTCCATGTGAAAGATTTCCCCTTTGCAATTCCACAGAAATATAGCTACATTTAATAAAATATTTATTTCAAAACAGATTTAAAATACAGTCAGACATACATCCTGCAAAAAAACCCCATACCTTCATTTTTAGTATTTGACACAAAACTAGCACTATTACATTCAGTGAGAATATGCACCTACTTTCACCAAAAGAAACTAATTTTTGCATAAACTAGCAGAGCAATGAAATTTAATTTAAAGGAACCTTTAGGCCTAGAAGCATAAAGCCCTTTATCACCAATGGCATTTACTATCCAGGAACTAATACAAGTTAGGAAAAAAAACTTAACAACCTCATTCATTTTTTAAGCCACAACAAAGCCAAGTGTTTGCCTGTCAGTAACACCGTAGGTACCCCACACTTCTGACATATTTATACTACCCATCAAAAGGAAATATTTTTCATACTGTCAACTAAAAGTCACTTTCTAGTTGGATGTCTCAAATTACCACTGTAAAATTTACTCATGTATTTATGAGTTCCAAAAAAAATAATGCTTATTCTGGAGCCACCTTTCTGTGATTAATGGATAAGCTAATGCATATGTTGCAATAAACACATAATTGACCTGGAAATAGTTCTATTAATCCCAAATCCAAGCATCCTTAGGTCAAGTCTCTTACATTATGCTTCCAATTCTGAAACTATTTTCATGTTTCTGTTCCTCTGATGGAGTATGAATTGCTTTTAAGACCTGAAACTGGATATATTCTCACTTAATTGACTTTTATGTAATAAAGCTGATGTTGTAATTTTGTCAGGTACTTTCATATGGTTGCCTATTTCCTTATCAAAAAATCTGGAGCAATCATAACTTTATATGTGATTTAAGGAAATAAAATGCTTCACACCTGGGGACATCAGAACAAAATAATTCATCCTAGATTTTCTCAGGCACAGTATAACTTCAGAGCTTGAATTATAAACGCACACAGATACAGACCTGAAATGGCTAACCATTTTCATTATACAGAAAGTTATCATGTGGCTTTGCACACTGAGATATATTTAATGCACAGTTCTAAATTTGACCCTTAAATCTAAGCCCACATGTCTCACAGGCAAATCCTAGTAACATCTGAAACTAGCTTATAAATATTTGTTTCCCAAGACTTTGAAATGAAGCATTTGTCTAAAGCTTAAAATGCTTTTTTTCTAAATAACTGATGGAAATGGACTGGTCTTCAGCATCCAGCAACACAGGTACCCAGAGACACACAGCACAGCAACTTGCTTTTCAACCACCTCAAATGCAAGCAGAATGCACAAATCAACAGCCAAACCAACACTGAAATGTTTTTCATTTCAATATTTGAGAATATATGTTGCCTGAAAGCCAGTAGTCCAACTGACCTCACAAAACACAAGGTTTTCACTATTTGACAAACCCTTATATCTACAGGCTGATCTGGCATTGTTTCAGAATTTTTAATAAATTGCACACAAAACAGACGAACTTCTAAGTGAACAGCTCTCAGGCTCTACAACATTTGGGTACCCATGTTTCAAAGAGATGCTTTTCAACAATATTTTATCCAGTTTTCCATTTCATCCAATTAATCCACTTGTGAATCTAAATGCAAAGTCTTAAAAGAAACAATGACTTCCATTTTCTTCCACCCTAGTGGAGACTCAGTTCAAGCCACATATGGGGACAAGTTTTGTACCATCAGTCACGACTCAGAGCAATCTAGGGAGATTTCAACAAAGGTTACAACTAAAAATTAAGAAAGGAAAAAAGAAATATCCTAGTTTCTGATAGAATAGGATGTTAATTTGGTACAGTTCTTCAGCTGATACACATCACCTATATCCTAAGGCCTCCAACAAGTAGGAAAAAAAATCTCAGCTGCTACACAAGTTAAACTTTAAAGAGATGAAGCACATTATTTGAAAACTATCAATGAAAAATAACTAAATAATTGCCAACCCAAAAAGGATCATGAAAACTCCTAGCATCAAAGCTTATTTCTCTTAAAGAAAGCCTGCAATGTTGTGGTAAATTAAGGTTATAAAAAAGCTACACAAAGAAAACATCTAGATCTGGTTTTGTTGCTCCATTGTTCTTGTCTGTGGCTTGAGGAAATTTATGACTTCCTCCTCCTGCTTGTACCACTAAGAAATCTTCCAGAATACAAGTCTCCTAAATCCTCTGCCTACAAACAGATGTACATTTGGGTGATTCAGATGAAAATGCTAATACCTTTATTTAGGGGCAGGGAAAATTCCACCCAAACTTATTCCTTTTTTTTTTTTTTTTTTTTCATAAATGCCCTTACAAAATGGCTATAAAAAGTACATTTGTGTTTCTCTGCTATTTATGCGGTATAGAAAGAAGGTCTGAAAATTGTCAGCAGGCATTTCTACATGTTTTCTACCTCAGAAATACAAGAATGCCAAGAATTTTCATCTGTGGTTTCACTGCAGAAATCCTCAGATTTCTAGAAACCAGAGGCAAAAGAATGTTTTTCCTGTGCTAGACGACATACTATGACACATGTACTGTGGCAAATAATAACCATTTTTCAGGAGTTTGAATTAAACAATGACAGAAAATTTATTTTTAAAGGCGTGTGAAGAAAAATCTTTTGCAATTCTCAAATTTTTAGAAGCTGAGAACCTGAAGATAACATTTTAGCATAAAACACAAGTGGGAAATCTTCTTTTAAAAGGAAAAAGACAGAAAAAACCCCAGGTCCATTCCAGATCATTTTATATACAATAAAGCAGTAATAATGATCAAACAGAGCTTTTCTTCCAATGTAGAACATCATTTGACCATTAGAGAAGGTGCTACTGAAATGGTGTTTCATACAAATAGTATTTAAAATTTGCATTTTACACCTATTTCACTGGAAAATCGTGGAGGGAGTAATACAGCTCTCACCAGGCAAGAACTCCCACACATTGTCTCTGTGGAAAAATCGTGATGGTATCAGCCACCAGCTGCCCAGAGACATTAGCTGAAAACTAAAGCCTTGTGTCAGAACCAAGTGAACTTTTCTTTAGGTCAACATGAAGATTTACTGGCACTCAGAACAGAATACACACCAACTTCAAGGTAAAAAGAGTCTGACGCAAATATCTGAGATAGCCCTATCAGCTCCATATTTCAGCTCCTCCCACCTGAATTGGCTTCTCTTGTCTAAGTCAACTAATGCACAATTCAACAGCCTTGACTTACTGTGAGATGTGAGTTATTGGGGTCAGCAGTGTCTCACCCTCCAGGTCAAGCTCATCGGCAAAGCTGCTGGTCCTGATGAAGGGTCCTGTGTTCACATCTAAAAACGCTGGGTTTTTTTTCACTGTGAAAAAACAGGCAGATAGCAGTTTAAACCAATAGCATTTGACTACCACTCATCTGGATATCTGAAATACTGTACATTTTAACAGAATATTGAAAACTGAAGTTACTACCAAAAATTGCAGAGTTCATGAAAAGCAAAATTTTAACTCTTTTTCTACCCAAAGCATTTCAACTTCTGCTGAAGATTTAAAACTATTTTTTTTCACACTCCTTATACACTAGGCTACTGAGTATCAATATGACAGAAGGCTTTGTGCATTTTAAAACTTATTGTGCAATACTCAGCCATACCATGGACCACCACTCTACAGCAACAGTGCACGAGTGTAATTCAGTGACAAGAACAGTTCCCTTTTATATCATCTCTACCTCACGTTTTAGTTTATACCAGATTCTGGTGTGTAATTACTCTAACTATAGGACCAAGAAACCAGGCCTAGATCAACACAGGAGCATAGGCATTCTCACAGTGAGCAAGTCAGCTCCTGTCACACACACTGGCTGAGCCAGTGTGCTGGTTCCCTCTAAAACTTAGGCACAAGGATGCCTCATCTTTGCCCTCAGACACAAGACAGGTAGGTGGCAAGATCTTCAGTTCATCCAAGATGAGGTCCTTACTGGGAAGGTTGTTTTATAGAACTTCAGATATCGAAAGTTTTAGTGACAAAGTTATTTGCATGTCACCACTTTCATGCATCCAAGAAATTAGGCACAGTGTTACAGATTTCATTTTTAAACTCATGTTCCGAAATTCTGCCAGACTAACATTAAAAACAGTAAGTGCTTGCTCCTAGCATTTGCTAGAGAAGCCACAAAATCTGCATATAACTAAAACAACTAGTGTGGTTTACATGACTGTAAATGAATTTACAGAGAATAAAACCAGGTTAAATTCCATATAACTCATAGGCACCCTCATAGAAACCTTTTTCTGTGTAGCTGGCTGGAACATTCAAATAAAATAATTATAATGTAGTAATTTATGAAATCTCTAGTATGTTATTGTCTATAAAATAAAATACTTTTTATTATAAAAGCAAAAAAAGCCCTGCCAAAATGCCACACAAAAGCTAAAGGAATACAGCAGAAACAGATAACCTAAAAGTAATTGATAGTTAATGAGAATAGAAGTGGGGATATCATGAAACTTTTTTTAAAATTACAATCATTTTACTCCACTAATTAGTATCTTCATACGGAAGAAATTGATTTGAACTTTTACAAATAAGAAGATGACAAAATGTTATTATATCATTAGGCACAGAGCTGTCCAAAATTACAAAAGGAAATCTGTTCTCCAGAAACTGTAACAGGAAAGGATGAAGTCTGAAATTACAGTTTTAAATAAATAAATAAATAAATAAGACAAGTGCTAGGAGATACAATTATTACAAGCATAAGCCACTTGCAACGCTTAAAACTGAAAATTCTGTTGTATATTTTAGGAAATGTTAGCTTCAATTTCTGGTTTTAGTATCATACTATTTAATCCCTTTGCTGTAGCCATCATACAAGACAGTGACTGTGAAACCAGCAAAATAATTCCAGATTCAGATATGCAGCAAAATGCCTTTCAAACAGACTTGTTTTAGCTTTCATTAAATTAATTTTCACTGTTCTCGTTTATACAAGATATAAATAACTTTCCCAATTTCTAAGAAAGGAGGACTCACAAACTTTTAAGTTTTCCTGACAGCAAGTGATAAAAACTGCTGAATCTAAAACCATTTAGTTTTTGCTGAACAGTCACCAAACAGTGCTTATGAGGGATACAATACACACACTGCACAAATGGATCTGCAGAAACAGCTTCTCTTGGATCATTCAGTTACTGCTTTTCAGTTTCATGGGAGGGGAGAGAAGGATTGGCACAATGAAAAAGGAACCAGGATTCAAGACTGTGTCTCAACCTCTCTCTGAGCATACAGAGATGAAGAGCTGATTAGTATGAGGCAAACATAGTATCTCCTTCTCTCTATTTTTAAAATTTCTAAGATTACCATAACCAAGAAAAGAGCCTTAATGAGAGCTTCCCTGCCACAAAGGGCCTTGAAACAGGGCTCAAGCAAAACACCAACATTTTTTTACTTATTAAAATAAATTCACAGCCATTTGAATTTGGAGAAGTCTTTCTTACAAAACAGTGTTTTAAAAAAATTATGCTAGAAAAGACACTAAATTTCTTAATATGAAGGCTAAAGGGGAAAAAAAAAAGGAAACTTTGGACAACAATTTTCAATGGATTACAATGAGTGAACAGAAATATGAAACTGTGTATCAAAAGTATGGTTTGAATAATTTAGACGATCCCCAGTTTTATTTTCTCTATTTTTTATGGGTAGCAGCACAACTATGGTAACAGGCACAACTATCCAACTGATAACGCTAAGCCAAGTACTACTTTGAAAGGACAGAAAATACACTCCCCACAATAGGAGAACCCCTGCTTTAAAACAGAAATTCTGAACTATCTGGAAACATTCAAGGTCAGGTTCTGAGCAACCTGAGCTAGCTGAAGATGCCCCTGCTCATTGCAGGGAGGTTGGGCTACACACCTTTAAAGGTGCCTTCCAACACAAACCATTCTACAGCTCTATGAATTTTCAATCAAGGATTATAAACACAGTAACAAGAAATTACTGATATTTTTTCTGAATTATCAACACAACAATTTTATATACAATATGACGTGTATGTAGATGCATTTCTGGTAGTGGACTATTTGGCTAGAAAGACAGAAAATATTTTACACTTCCTCTTTTGCAAGCACAGACAAAAAATTTAAAACACTTTAAAGCAGTTTTTCCAGGAAAAATCTGAGTTTTCATTAATGCACTTAGAAAACACCTCTGGTCTGCAGAAAATCCCTTTATTTATTTTAACATTTACAATTTACAACCTGAACAACCTTCAAATGCAAAATTCTACTGAAATGCCTATGCTTTTTTTAAAAAAACTGCTCTACATTTTCTGTGCCACAGCAGGCAACTCCAGACAGAGCATTGCAAAGATTTAGTAATTAACAAAGGTGATGGAACATGATGGAACAATGAAATATTATGAGCTTTACCTGGTGAGGAAGGAGCACTGGAAGACTGCTGGTCTGCGGAAAAGGATGGCCAGGAGCGCTGACAATCTGAGTCAGAGTAGAGATGCACATGAAAAAGAGATGTTTGGGGGGGAAGGGGAAGAAAAAAAAAAAAAATGGAAAGGAAAAAGCTAAAAAGCTCCAGACAGGCAGCTGAGGAGATGCAGACATACCTAAAATACTACGTTCTACCTGACACAAAAATTACTGTGGAAAAGAGTTTGTATGAAACTCTACTAGTAGAGTGCACACTGGCAGAATATTAAATCACCACTGAGGAGGCATCATTGTCTCTCCAAACCCATTCTTCATGGCAGTGTCACCTGCTGCAAGACATTCCTCCCTACATGCTAGTTCCATTTTGAGGAAATCAATCTATGTTTGCCCCTTTCTTCCTGACTTTTAAGATTTCTCAAGTCTTTCCCTTTTCTAAGTGTGCAGCATCATACAGGTCAGACCTCTCTTGCTCTGGTTCCTACTGTTCACAGTACACTATTTTATGGCCAGATTTCAGGGGTTTGGAGAGTCTCAATGCGAATACTAAATTGGGGAGTGCCATTCTTAAACCCCAACAGCATGCTCCAGCCACGACTCCTGGGTCTCTGCTGAACTGATGACACCAGGAGAAAGAAGGAAGAGAGAAAAAGCTGGAAACCTTTAGTTGCCCAAGGATACTGATGGGGAAGCCAGATGAATGATCCAGGAATGTGAAGACTGAAGTAGAAGTGGGTAGTCCAAAAATTTACTGAATATGAGAAAGTAGCATATGGATATGTGACTACAGCCTTTCTGAAGGCCAAATTAAAGCTGAATGAGCATCCTGTATTCTTGTACTTCTTAATTTCTTGTTTCTGAACTTTTGATTTGGCAGCTTCAGTTTTCTGTGTAGGTAATCTTATTCACAGTAAGTACAATTACACTCTCTCCTCTTTATTTCTTTGAGTTGCTATGAGAACAGTGTTAGGTAATCTCTCAGGTCCACTGAGCTCAGGCTGCCTGGCTAGGAAATAGAAACTGAACCTATGACAGCTGGTAAAGCTCCTCTGATATTTCCCCAAGATAAACTGGAACATGGGCAAATCAAGGATTGATCAGAGGGAGTTAAGGAGATTCAGTTTGTTTTCGCTGTTTTACCCTCTTATTTGCACCTGTGTTCCATGTGGGTTCAGAGGAGAAATTGACCCCTGTATTTTCAGACAATTTGTTCAACGCCTGAGCATCCTTGCACCCGATCACTGAAAAGAAGCCCCTGTTGTCCTTAGCGGATTCAGAGCAGAAAACTTACAGGTGGCTCACAGCACTCACACTAAATCACAGAGGTCTTTTGCCCAGGCCTAGCTCCAGTCCTACAATCTTTGGGGAACACTCAATTGCTAAGAAAGTGCCTAAGCAAGCACATTAGAAACATCACAGGACTACATGGCTGCTTAAGTGATCACAGAATCTAGACAAACAGTAAAATAAATTATTTAATTTATGGGTCCCCATTTGTTCACAAATATCTACAGCACATTTTTACAGGAACAGATGTATGTATTTCAGAATGCACAGCACTGGGGCTGAAATCTGAAAGTTTTCTTCCAGCTAGTCTATTTATTTAGAAATGAATTCTCATCTATATGCTCAGATAACTACTGGATGAATAATACTTTATTTATATGGAAATTGGTTTTTTATTGCTTATATATACATGAGCAATTTTTCTCAAGTATAAAGAACCCACTGGAGATCACCTACTTATATAAATGAGTGCTCACTTTTCTCTTCGAAACTGTGGGTGCAGTTGTGATTACAAGCATGAGAATGCACATTTTTGTCTGTCTAGATCTCCTTGGCTGCAAAAGAGTTCTTAGAAACTGTATGGCACTAGACACACATGAAAAGCACTGCAAACATTACACTGTCATAAGCTGGCATGCCACAAATAGAATTATTTTCCTCAACTTACCAAGCAATTTTAACATTCCTGTTTGTCCTGTATACTTGTAACAGTTTAGAGAGCAGAACACAGATAAAAAAGAAAAAAGATAAGTGTCAGAAGAAATTAGAGAAAATCCTTCTACTGAAAGCTATAGAGCTGATTTTTGAAACTGGCAGTAGTAGGCTGCCAGCAAATCATTTTGTCCTTAATCAGCTTAGAAATTTAATGATAAAAGGTGGAATCTAAGCATTTGTAAGGTTCTTTCACTTGTTTTGAAGAAAGGTGTCTGTACTCAAATTCTGAGACACACACTAAGCTTAGTATTTGTCCACCTTTTAACATTTCTACCACCAGATGCAATTTGCAATCATTATTTAACAGAGGCCAAGAAAGAGTGGAAAAGTATGGATGATGCAGAAAAATGCAAGACAAGCACACCAAAAGAGTACGTGGAAAGTGAGACTTTCTGCTGGAATTAAAATATGCCTGATGCCAGCCCACATTGCTATCTTATTTTGAAGGTCATTACATTTAATCAGGTCAGCCAAATGTTTGAGCAGAAAAAAAACATAAGTACTTAAGGTATCTGCAATCAATAAAACACACCATAAAAATTAAACCCTACTCTTGCTGCCAACATTTGAGCAATACACATTAAAAACTTCTAAGAAAGGTACATTTGCAAAAAAGCCAAATTGTAAATTCAGACTTAATTTGTTCATTATAGCAAAAGCAAATACAAATAAGCTTCTAATTATAAGGTCATTGTCAAAGTTTTTTCTTCTTTTTCCTCATACTGCACAATGGTACAGTGTACAGTGACGCTTAATATAGACGGATCCACATTTATCTTAAGTACTTCTGCTTTCAAAAGTTGATTCACGGCCTACTCCACTGAGCAGATGGCAGGAGCACAGGATGGTTTCATGTAGCAGACTATGTTCAGTGCAGCCAAGACATGTCAATCCTTTTTGGTTCAGGTACAAGCACAATAGAAACACATCCTGGGTAAATTTCACATGGAGAGGCTGACAGTAAGTTTCAATCAACTGCAGAACTGGGGAATGTGTGCACCAGCCTCAGAGTCAGTAGCTCTTCTGGCAGGAAGAAATGACAAATGATTTAGTTTGTCTGCAGTGGAGCATGCTCATTAAAATGATGGTTAAATCTCATCCAGACAAGCCAGCAATCAAAATCAAAAAGCGAAGTACTCTTCCTTTAGAATGGCAAGAGCTTGTTTTGTCCCTCTCCCCTAAAGATATTAAAAAGGACTCGTGTGTAAATATAATAATAGAAGCCCTTACAATTACTGGCATTTTATAATGGAACTCCTTACCAGAATTTTCATATGCTTCAAAATTGAAATGAGGTTTCCTGTCCTCCGCCACGTGGTCATAAGTGATGTGTGGTATAGTCAACATCCTATCTGGAGAAGAAGGTCCATTGTCCTTGTCTAACTTAAATTTCTTCTTTTTAACCTAAAAAACCCACATACATTAAATTACTCAAACCAAGCCACATTTAGTTGTATCTTCAGTAATGTCTTCAATAATAATGCAGTCCCCAGTGAGTTATAACCAATTAAAAGAGTTCCTGACCAATTATAATTTTCATTATGCTATACTGTGTTTCTCATTATGTTGGCCTCCCCATCCTGCTAAAACTGGCTAATCACTAGAATTCTTCACATTGTCATTACCAAATCCCTTGCCTGTAATAAAAAAAAATCTGCTAGTTCTGCCCAGCTCATATAAATCAAACTATTCTAGAATATCTTTACCATTTTATGGATGCAATAAATCATACCCTCAGCAAAAAGCAAATGGATATATTACTGCCGAACTCAGATGACCCTCAGAAATACAAGGGAAGATTTCTGCACGGCATCTTCCCCTTCCATTTTGAGATTACTGTGCAATACTTTTACAATAGAGAGGATGGACTATTACTTAATCTAAAGATTGTTATGAAGTTTTTTTTGTTGCTGTTTTTTAAACAAAATAAAATTACTTAACTTATGGAATCCCTTGATATGACATGGTAATTTTCTTTTTTTAACCCTTTCCTTATAGATTTTCAAACAATAACAGTTATTGATTGAGGTATCTCAGTTAGGTCTTTATTACTCTTTTCCAAACCCATATATCCATTAAAAAAGTCAAGTTTGAGGATCAGAAGCAAATTAACTTAAAGTTTCTACTGTTTGTATACTGAAACTGTCAAAGCCAAAATGTAAATAAAAATTTGAAACCAAATAATAATCTGCAAAACAAACACAACAAATAGTCTCGAGAACATAAACAAATTCAATCTAATTTAAAATGTTCTAATTACTCTAATAGGAAACATTAGGTACTGATACCATCACTGATTTCTTTGGTTTTGGACTGGGTGACAGCAAATGGTAATTCCTGGCAGGTTTTCGAATGTATATTTTCCATGTAGAAGAGTCTGGGTTTTCTGCAGCGTAGCATCTCCATGCAGTCTAGAACAAATGTTTTAAGCAAGGGAATAATTAATAAATCAGATTAGTAGCTCCTTGTACAACACAGTAATTTCCAAGTATCATGTTAGTCATTCTCTGTTTATTTTTATTCTTGAATTTGCCCACTGGAAACATAAACTCAGCATGGTTTAGAACCCTTATTTAGTAAACAGAAACCACACAGTTAGAACTGGGGAAACAAGAAAGAAAGATCAGTCTTTTCAAGGGCAACTTTTGTTCTTGTTAGCAACAAACAAATAATGGGAGAGAACTCTAAAACGGGACTCAAAAAATAGGTTTGAATGTCTTACTCTGCCCCAGTTTCCCTACCTGACTTTAAGCATTTTACCTATTGCATCCCAAGAATTGTTTTTCCATGCCTCACAAGAGTACTACCCAGAAAAAAAAGGAATTGTGATGTGGCCAGTAGGGCTGTATTCACACAAAGAAATGAACCTGATGGCACAACGGAATAGTACCAGTGGCTAACCAGGAACCAAAACCACAAACCAATCCTCCCTCTTGCCAGCCACTAATGATTACCACTAATGATACCACATTCTAAGACAAAAAGGAGGAAATGCAGGGCTAGGAAACAAGAACAACCTGAGACAAAATACTACTGTACTCTTTCTTAAATGTGTAAACATATCTGAGGTGATTAATAGCTACTCTCCAAATTAAAAAGGCAGATCCCCACTTGCACACTACACAAAAAAAGGACACACGTATACACAAACAAAATCCAGAGGAGGAAAGGCCAGAAACCACTGGATGAAAGAAAAAAAGCAAGGCAGAATGACAGAGGAAAACAGACAGCAGCTGGACAGCAAAGGATCAGACAATCACCATATAATTCCCTCCCTGGAAGAAACAACTGGCCTCTAGGAGAAAACAAGAAGCAATACAGGGAAAGAAAATCACTCATCTGAGACGTTCTCATCTTGTACTTGTTTTGTAAACATCTTGGTTTATGAACAATCTTTTCATAAGTTATTTGTAGAGCACTTATTAAATTGGGCTTTCAAAAATCCAAGATTATGATTAAATCGTAATTAACACTATTAAGAACAGGTATTCAGCAACTCATTGTCTGTCCTCTACTCCTCCTTAACATTTCTAATGGGGGCAAGTAAAACATTCTGGACATGCAGTCTCAGTCTTCCCAACAATTTGGTATTGATTTCCCAACAGAATCAGCAGGAACACTAAAAAAATCCATTCTTTACAAAACCATACCATACGAGTCTCACAATTTTTGGCTAATCTCTGGCTATAACCACAGTCTTTTTCACATTAACTCTGGAACTTGTTTAGTTTCAAGCATAAACCTTACAGTTAGCTACTGTTTCCATAAAGATCCTGACCTGGAAATCCACATTCACTCATGAAACCAGAGAAATAAGTCATATGAGAATGCAAAAATGATATGGCTTAGCTGTATATCTAGATTTCTTTTAAATTTGATCTCTGTGCTTCTAAAGCTACATGTAAACAGTGAGTAGAGGGAGGAAAAGCTGGAAAAACCTAGAATGAAACAATCTTAATGCCTCTTCAGGGTGCAATGCTGGCTCCAATGATGTAAAGGATAAAATCTGCATTGACCATACTGACACTGAACTGCACCTGCATTTATAATACAGGGGATCAATACTTTCCTGCCTGTAAGTTATCCAACAGGAAAAGGCTGATTCTGCAGAATCCCAGTGGTTCCCAGAAACCTATTCTGGAGCTGAAAAGTCCAAATAAGATTTTCTATTTACCACTCTGATTTATTTCTCCTAAATTTGAGATTAAGAATTTATTTGTCCCAAGGAAACTGAAGCATATTTGACATTTGTCTTTACAAGCAGCAACTTTTTAAAAGTACAGTTTTACATGAAGCCTCCTCTCTGTCTTTTCACTACTACCAGCATAATATTTCATAACGTTTTCCCCAGGTAAATTGTTTAATAATTACTGGGTAACCTTCAGTTTTGATTTTAACCAGCTGAGTTAAACAGTTTGCACTAATTTGGAAGTGTAGTTTTTTGCTCATTAATTTACATTAAAGGCTGGATTTCCAAAACTTGCATCTGTAACTCCTGTACAGTTTTTAATGGGAATCAGGCATGGAAAATGTGCCAACAGTTTGGGAAAAAAAAAAGGAATTATAAATGGAAAGAAATGACAACATGCAATATGCAGGAACTCAGTACCTGTATGAGTGAGGCAGCAGCTGGAATTTGACGGTTGAAATGCTTCTGTCTTTGTTTCTGTTGAACCTTTAGGGCAAAGCCTGAACCAAGAATTCCCTGTGGAAAGAAAACACACTTCTTTTTTTCTTTTTTTTTTTCTTTCTTTCTTTTTTTTTTTTTTTTAAGAGGAGGAAAGAACTACACATAAGCTTCCCAAATTTTGTTGTATTAATAAACTTCTATTCAGTATCATAAAATCCAACTAATTATTTAGAGGAAATGACTTAATACAGCAAAGTTTTTAGACTCAGTTATTATTACTTGTTGAAACAAAGAGTGAATGCTACCATACCCTGATGCAAAGCCTGCTGGACTCAGCCCCTAAAGAAAAAGCAGAAATTATATTTCATCCCCTCTAAAAGCCTCACAAATGCTTGTGAAGAGAATAAAAGGATAGTGAAAAATATCAACCTGATGTGCTTAACTTCATTTTTATGAGAAAGAAAGCTTTGGGATGGCACGATTCAGGTAGTGTGGTATGGTAATTTCTATTTCCATATGTTAATCCATGGTGGAAGGGGAGGAGAGAGGATGAAGAAGAGGAAAATACGTGGTCAGGATTTCAGTGAGTTTGACGCAAGGCCACCTAACTCACTCTCAGGAAAAGGGACAAGGACTAACAGCATTGGATGGTGTACAACCTGAATTAGACTCCAAATGTAGGGCAGCTTTGAAGTCCAAATTTAAGTAAAGAGCAAGCAATTTATGCAGTCATTTGCACAGTTATATACATATTTAACACAAGTTTTAGTAACACAGGTAAAAATGAAATCTTCTATAAATCAGCTTACATGACTACACCTACTCAAGGAAAACATAATTCCTTTTCTCCATATAGCAGAAGGCATCAGAGCAGCCAGGGATCTTGGCTCAACCTCTAAGAACTGTATTAATCATCAAGTATTTTGAAAGGAAGGAGAAATGCCCTTCCTCTTCTGTTCATTTGCTAAGGATCAAAGAGGTGATGATGCTCAAACATCACATATTTGGGAAATGGAGGATCATTTCTAGATCCAGAAGCCATACCGTTTGCGTTTAGCCACAATTACTTTTGACTGTGATCTCAGCCAGATCCCCTTACTTAAAATGGCAACAATACAGCGTGAAATAGAGCTTCAAAGCCTAAATTCCCCCCTTGGGCCAACTCACAACAACTTAATTCAGTAAAGAAAATCCTACCGATAAAGGGGTGTTTGTTGTTGTTTTGCTTCAACAAAGATTAGGGAAATCTGATGGGCAAACATAAAGCATGGCTGTGAAGGCATGGCTGCTACACGATCATTTATAAAACACCTTTGCTGGCATTCAAGTCTGGTTTTAAAAACCCCACCAAAACAAACAAACAAACCAAACACACCACCATTACCACTCTTCAGTTGAAACAGTAGCTTTTGGTATTTTTCATACAGATAATTTCATTTACCAGATCTCTCTTCTAAAATAAGCGTGAAAGATATTAGAATGAGGAGGGAAACATGTTCTAATGGCAAACTGATGCTAGAGAGTTTAAAAAACTACACTTACTTATCCTCTTCTGAAAAAGGTTATGTTCCCTCAAAGAAAGCAACTAATTTTAAAAAGCCACTGGAGTTTTAGTAGCTACTATTTCACACTGTGAAGAATTTTTGTGAACGTACTGGCATAAAAGTATTCTTGTCCATTCTGTACTATCCCCACCACTTCTCTGCCACAACTACACAAACATCTGCAAACACAACAGTCCTTGTCACTGAACTGAAAAACCTGAAGAAAAAAAAATCATTTTAACCACATGTTGCAGGTGGCACAAACATTTTAAACGCACAACTCAGGGGTATTGCTGAATTTGTGAAAAACATACCCTTAACTACCCTTGGCACTGATTATTTGTGTTTTCAAACCTCAGCTTAGGTTTCGCTGACTGTGAATTTACCCTTGGTACTCAAGTGCCCTGTTTCTTGTTTGAAAGTACTTGGGAACCTGTTTTCAGTGCAAACAAAGTGCCATAACAGTTTTAAAATGTCAGCTTTAGGTCACTTTTGAAAATGGGACTTTGGCCATGGACAGACGCTAATTTGGCAAAGAACTGCATCAGTGTCCCTGGCTGCTGATTGTTGTTTCTCTGCCAGTGACACCTTTTAGTCAGCTTTTGTAGAAGGAGAATGTGTATGAGAACTCTACAGTTCACCTTGGACCTAATCAGTTGAGTAAACTATGAGTGAATGTCTTAAAAAGCCAAAACATTGCTAAGTTGCTGAGTCTAGAAGTAATTAGAAATAATTTCCTTTACACTTCTGAGATGGGCAGAAAAAGTACTTTGAGTTAAACATCTTTTCCTCAAATACATCCCAAATCTAGTGCTGCATAGAAAAACCACCACATATTTACTTAGTTACTTTCTACAAGCTACATATATTTCAAAGACAATATAAAATTTTAATACAAAGCTTTCATGGTATCAGGTTAAATGAAAGATTAAAGAATAAGTAACAAAAGTTTCCTCTGATGACTAATGAGTCAACACCAAATTGACAGCAAAAGTACAAGATAACCTACCGCAGGTAGTGCAAAAAATGAAATTGCAAATACTGAAAAACAAGATGCAATAGTCTTTCCTATCCAAGTCTGAGGTACTTTATCTCCATAGCCAATAGTTGTAACAGTCACCTGCAAAGAGAAATAGAGAGAGTATTACAGCAAGTATTGACATGGCAGTTTTGGGTTGTTGGTCTCTCTTCCTTTTGTATGTATTGTAAAGAAACATTAGCTGCTTTCCTAACTCTTCCAGTGACAGTCTGTGTGAGACTAATGACGGGAGCTCTTCTCTCCCAGTTTGCTTCCCCATCTAATACCGGATGGAAAAACATAAAGGAAATTGAATTACAACAAGATAGATGTTTAAAATCTTCCAAAGTAAAACCATCAGTTTAACTCTTCACAGCTGAGGCGACTGCACACCATGTGAAGTTACTAGGATATATAGGCTGCCTGCCTATGTCACACACTTTCCTCAGGGAAAGGCTGCCAGCATTTCTGAACTGGTGATTTTGTTTATGGGCAGGAGATGTTTGTTGAAAGTATTACAGAGCTGTTGCATAAAAAGAGCAAACACATACTGTAACCATGCACTATGACTGGGGTCAGACATCAAGTGTTCTAGAGATAATATTGGTATAAATAGCAAGAGAAGCTGATAAATGTCCATGTAGTAAAGATCCTTAAAACAGTCTAACGAATCACCAATTCATATCAAACACTCAGAGCAAGAACAGATAATTTAAAGCACACATGCAGGAAACATCTGTTGAGTTTGCCTTTCAAAACACTAAAGCAAAGACTACCACCACAGTGATGTAGCATAACGAGGCTTAATAACTAATTATTTGCATGAGCTCAAGGAAAGAATGTATTTGTTTGAAGCAGAAGGATGCATTTGGCATCTGAGAGCAATTTAAATTCACCTATGTCACCAGCTATTTCTGAATTTGGAAATTAGAGAGATTTTTATCTGTGACTTTGAAGAAGGCTAACCAAATCAGAGCATGGGAAGCCACACTCTCAAGCAGTTGAAGCACACCTCAATTGCTGGCTGCTCAGACTTTCTTCTGACAATATGAGCCTTCAGCTGCCCAGGACACATAAGTTTGTCCCACAATAACATACACAGGCCATTCTACCTGTCTGCTCTAACACACACTACCCAGCAACTGCAGAAATGCGGGCAATGCCCAGAGCAACATCTCTACGTGAGGAGAGAAGGGCAGATTTATAGAGGCAAGATGGTGGTTAAGGGGGTGAAGGGATGGACAACACGGCTTTGGGGAAATAAAAGCTCATGACAAGAACTTCAGGAAAGGTATGGCTGTCACCCACTTTAATAATTGTCCATTCCTGCTAAAAGACGAGAGGAAAATCCCGTGTATGTAAATTTTGACCTGGGATGTACCTCAAACACACAAAGCAATCCATCCATACTTGAACTGTCCACCCTCGAAGCAAAATCATTATGTGTCAGTCAAACACATGAAAAAGGGGCAGCTTTATCTGCTTGAGGTGGGGATGTTTATTGCAAGTTTATTACCAGTTGCTGATACTCAAAATATTCAAGAATTAGTTTTTAATTTTTAATACAAGTGTTTAAAATGTGGCCTATTTTCAAAACTGTTTCATACCCTACAGAAGTGCTTTAAATAAGGTAAGTACCCAAGTACCTTTGCCTGTATTCCTGAAATTGTTATTAAAATACCACTTGAGTTCAGGACCTGATGAGGGGCTGAAGGGATGATGTCATCTCCTTGCCTACATAAGAGGGTGGCTGGAAAAAAAATTCTGAAGACTAATTACAATTTCCCATTCAAAAATACAGTATAATTATGGGAAAGTTATGGCCTCCAATACCTTCTTACAGAAAAGATCATGAGAGAAAAATCATAGTTTATTCCTCCATTTTTGAAAATAAATTATAAATCCTTGTAATTGAAAAATTTCACCAACTCTTCTGTGTTACAGTCTTCAAATCATGTTAATTAAGTAGAAATGTGAAAAGAAATAGGTGCATTTGAGCTGACTAAAGTATAACTGAAGATTAATTCGTATACATTTAAGAAGTGATTGTCTTCCCTTTGCCACCACATCCCTGTCAATCCCTTCTGAATTGATCTATATGAATCATCAGTGACACAAATAAAGTATTTCCTGTGGTGTTTGTTTGGGAGGTTTTTTCTAAAAACATCTTGGAAATTAGGCTGCAAATTAAAGTGTTCATGTAATTTAACATTTTCCTCTACCCTCTTAACTCTAAACCATCTACAAATTCATTGTAGATGATTTTCTTTTTCCCCAAAATACATGCTGCTGAAACCTTACATGCCGAGTTTCTGCCCTAAACTATTTTTTACAGCCACATTATAACCCCCTAAAGAGTACAATACTAATTTTACAGTTATAAAATAAGATATTATAATGGAAATACTGACTCAACTTCTACTCTAGCATAGTAAACATGTTGGCATAATGAAATTAAATTGATACAAGAGCTCACACATTAAATTTCATTGGAAAGCAGCATGTAAAACAATTGTTTTAATTAGGAACAAAATCATTTTCATCCACTGACTATTTTAAAACTTTGATCTGATGAACACCACCACAGGCTTTGGTATTAAAACTAATGTTGTTCCTATTAAATATGCATCAATACTCTGAAGGAGGGAATATGAAGCAAAAACCCACACAGCAAGAAGAAATAGCAATGTTCATCTGCACTGAATAGGGAAGGGATTTTATTCTAGGTTATATCAGCCTAAAGTGAGCACAGGAAATTAATCAGGGAAGTAAGGATATTCTGTTGATGAAATCCCTGCTGTATGCCTTGCAAAAATTTGGATAGTTAAACAGCTATAAAAGAGAAGAATGCATGATTCTGAGATATCAAAAAGGCAGACAACACAGGACTGAGGAAGCAAACACAAGGTAAAAGATTAAAAAAGCCAAGCATTAAAGCAAATGAGGGAAAGTCACCTAATAGAAAATATCTTATCTACTTCATTTCTAAATTTAAAGCACTGCAACTTCAAAATCAATTGCACTAGGTATTGTTCTGCATACCAGACACGACTCAGAATTTTCTGATTGACTTACATTACCCACCTTGATTAAAGCAAGTAATACCAGAGCAATATCCAGCGATATACCAGAAACATTGACCGGCTCCCTGACTCCATTTCAACTGAACTACAGTAAATTTCAGAACAGTCTGAATGCTCTTTACACCCAGGTGTTACATAGCAGCCTTTCTATTTCTTGACATCTTATTCAGTCAACTGCATTCAATATTGCAGGTTGAATATAATGTACAAACTTTCGAGGCTGCTGAAACCCTGGCAGCACAAGTGCAAACAGATCCATGTCCTGCATTTATTTTACTGTGAAGTATGTTATATAGAGCTAAAAAACCCCTACTGATCTTTCTATATTTTGAATTCTTTTCCAAATGGCAATATTCTTCATCCTTGTGCACCTAAGGATGTTAGTGATTAGCACAGATTCACACAACTGAAATTCCTCTTTCTGCTCCTAGTCACCTCTGTGTGCATTGCAGCACTCTGAGAAAATACAAGTTACATCCTTCAAATGAATAAGCTAAGAGGTCACAAATATTTTGAAATACTGGAATTAAAACTGCAATGCAAAGCTGGAAAAAGGACTTCCTTGTTACTACAATTAGAAACGTGTGAAGGAGATGTTTGGACTGCTTTTTCTTCTTAAGATTTTAAAGTCATTTTCATGCAGTTATCATTGCAGGCTCACACCATCATTCTCAGTGCAACTGAAGTTCATGAATGATACATAACCACATCTGAGGGACACTGAAACACTTCTAGTAACTTAGGATATGGAATGAAATGGAACTGTACATCCAGTTGCAAACGCAACAAACAGAATAAATTAACTTCAGTGTCACGTCTCTGCAATAATATATCCTCAGTGTTGCCTAAACATTGCTTTTGGATCTTAGTTAATACATCCTCAAGGTGTCATTTTCAGTCATTGCCAGTTCTAAACAAATTACTTGCCACTTTAAATCCCCTAATCAAAAGGTAGCCCAAATTAAACATCTATACTTGTGAGCTCACAGAGATAAACAAAAGTCTTTTAAAAGATCCATTTCAAAAGGAGCATAATTTGTGCTAATTATTGAAATTTAAATGAAAGCTAAATTCTGTTATTATAACTATTTTTTTTCTAGATCCCAACATGGAAAATTATCTCTATTTTGAAACACTTTAATTTTGTTTCATCAAATGAAAAACTACTGTTAATTCTGTATTCTTCTAGATAAAATTTTTGTTCCTACCTCCTTGGTATCTTTTGATAGAGGTTTAAAGATTTGGGAATTAGGAAAAGAAATGCCAAGAGTGTTCCCTAGGTGTAAGAAAATCTACATCTGTACTTTTTAAGTAACAATTTTAAAAGGTTTATCCACATCTACCCCATAGATTTTCATGGAATGAGAACAAATTGTAGTTGGAGCTGCTTGTGGAGTTAAAGCTCAGAGATGAGAAGGTAGCTGCAAAATGAAGAGATGGCTTGCAAAATGCATTTAAAAGTATCTTCATCTTTCAATCGCTGCTCCAACAACTCCTAGAATAACCCAAATCCCTCATAAACACTCAAACACATAGTTCCAAAAATTATAATTAAAAAAATAAAAGGATATAATAGGTCTATAGTTGGTAGTCTTAACTTGTAAACCACATAGGGACTAAAAACTTCTGTCAGACACTGAAGTCAGCATACAGTTCTCAGTGGCGTTTTTAATTGAGAGGGGGATCTGAATAACACAAGATCTCTTTTATGAAGCTATTTTTAAAACTTAAGTGCAACTATTTTATAAATTAAATCAGATCTCTTCTAATTTAGCAAAAGTTTTATGCATGTGCAGTTTCAAGTGGTATTTCCTGCAACTCTTCAGCAAAGTTTTCCCCCAGTTTTGATTTTGAATTTACATTAAGCACGTAATGATAGGCTTTGCTAAACAGGACATGGTTCAATGCATGCCTAGAAGTAAGCAAACTTGTAAATGTTTTGTTGAATTTGGTGCTTAGCGAGAAAGCTATCTTCTAATCTGTAAAAATTAAAGGAACAAGAAATCCTTAACCAAAGCTGTTACTTGCAGAAAACTGCTTGATTCAATTCAAAGCAACAGGCACAGTGTAATATCCATGCATGGCTATATTCAATAATTGCTTGTGGCAAACAGTCCCCATGATCAAAGAGACTGTTAGCACGGCCCACATAATGGTTTCCCTGAAGGATGTTTGTTCCAAACGTGAAGGTTGGAAATTGTGTACTCATTCAGGGGGTATCAAAAGAAGAACTCTTCTCACTTGGTCTGAGGCATGATTGAAATAAATGCTAAAGGGGGGGCTGCAGGGAGGGGTGAGAAAAACCCAACAAAAACAAAACAAAAACCCATAAACAAAACACTGAAAGCCACAAAGCCCCGCAGACAGTGAGCAGGTAACGTTCTCTGAAGGTAGTCGTCTCTGACAGATTCAATAAGAACATTTACAATATTTTTTTAAGCATCTTGTTTTATTTTTAATTAATTTGTGATTGTATTGTCCTCAATCTATATTAGGTCTTTAAGACTGCCAGTCTGGACATGAAGGATGACATAAGTAGACTAATTTCCAATACTGGCACTGTGGAGCTGAAAGATGCATCATGTCACTTGTATTTTACTTGCTAACACTAAATTTGTGTTTTGAAAGACATACAGATATGCAGTCGCTGGCAGAATTATTTATACAACTTGCACTGCATTCAAAACCAGCAATAATATAGACAAATCTTTATGCCATAAGGTAACCTTAGGTTTCTTCAAGAAGCCCATCACTGACTTGGTGAAGAGCTACAGCCCAGAGTTCTCAAGGAAATTCAAATAAAGCCCAGGAGGTCAATTTACATATGAAAATACAAAAGCAATACAGATTTATAAATAACAACAACAATGAACATTTAATTAGAAGTTTTGCACCCTATGGGTATGCCTATAGTCAGCAAAGCACAGTAATATAAAAGTACCCAATTCCAGCTGCAGTTTAGTTGTGATAACACAGGCCTTTTACATGGTTTATTTTAGCTATATTATGTATTCTACCACTGCTGCCCAAAGAATTTGCTTAGCAGTGTATACATACACTGAGATAAGAAAAAAGTGCAATGCTGTAAAGTGAGAAAAGGGGCGTGAAAACACTAACAAGGACTTTTTGAAGCATTATCTGCTATGTAAGGCAAGTGCACTTTCAGAGAAGTGAGATCAGCTGCGTTACCAGATGGATCACATATCTATGATAGTGTATGAGACAGGAGCTGTGAATTATCCTCTTCTGCATGTTCAGTTCAAAACAGACTGAGACAGGTTTTCAGGGACCAGAATCTGTGGTGTTTGAGCTATTCGGAAAATTCTGGCTAAAACATAACTGAAACTTTTGTGATTTAACACTTTCAAAAGGCTTTTGTACGAGTTTGAGACTTTTATTAGGAAGAATCCTCACGACCCCCAGATATTCACAGAATCCAGAATGGTTTGGGTTGGAAGCAGCCTTAAACACTACATAATTCCAACCTTCCACTAGATCAGGCTGTTCAGAGCTCCATCCAACCTGTACTTGAGCACTTCCAGGGATGGGGCATCCACAACTTCTCTGGGCTAACTTCTTCACTATCCTAATTTTATAGGGTAGAAAGCATGAAGAATATTACAGTACCAAAACACCAGAAATGGATGGAATCGAATCTATTTCAGTTTTGTTCTCCTAAATCTTTTTTAGCAGTTAGCAGAAACATATTAGAAGGACACGAAATTCTACTTTTAATATTAAAGAAATTACACTACATGTTCGTTGAAGTCTCACACTTCAAGTGGCATGCTGCGACACAATAGAGGCTACAACAGAGAAAGAATATTATGATAATTAAATTTATTGATTAAACAAGTTTACTGCAATTAGGAAGAAAAAAATAACCAGCATGCCTAACTGAGCAATAATTCCCTGAAAGGAGAATATTTCAATATCCTGACAGATCGTGTTGCTTCTGTGGAAGGTTTTACTGTATTTTCAGTAAGCCAATCTGGTCTGTCACATACTCAATTTTTAATGGCTACGCCAATGACAGCATGTGTTTTTAAATGCAGCTACATCTGCCACTGTTAATTACTGAGTCATCTGACCACTGTAGTGGAAAATAAAAATGCCATAATGACATGAAAGCATTGAAAAAGCTACTTGACAGAAAGCCACTTCCTTGTGCTAGACATTAAGTCCTCTGATCCTAAGAAAGCCTGTATTTAACCATGGCAGACAGCAAGAAGAAAGAATCTTGCAGCAGATCATAGTAGCAAAACAATACAACAAAATCTGTTGTATTCAAAAAGGGCTACATATGCATTTCAGCACCAGGAGACCTGCAAGAGACTTGCTCATCAATAGATCTTTCCTTCCTGAAACAGTAAGCGGTACTGTTTGTAGAGAGAAGACTATATAAGCACACACACACAGAGGTTTATTAAAAATATTTCTTTATATATATATATTATATATTATGTGAAACATAAGACTTTTTAGTAGTCTTATTTTTAACCCAAAAAAAAAAAAAAAAAAAAAATGCCTTTTGATTTAAAGCAGTAGAGAAAAAGCTCTAGAAGATCAGCACATTTTGGAAACGCAAGCATGGCATCACTAGTGATGCCCATGCATTTTAAAGATCTGTAGCACTTAAGGTTTGCACTTAGGTTTGTTTTATTAAGCTAATAGAATTAAAGCAGATAAAAACAAGGCACTGCTTGAATTCTAATAAGGAAAGCCAGCTTCCAGAAAGTGCCTTTCTTTGAACTGTACTAGGAAAAGGAAAGGGAAACAACTACAGACAGGAAATCCCAGAACAAAACAGCCAACCTAGTATTTGCGTGTCATGTGAGAAAAGAAAGAGGGACTTGTTACTATTGCAGAAGCAACTAAATTAAAATGTTGACAAAAATATAATCCCAGAATAGAGCTGCTTCACTACAGTGAGTACACATAATAAAGGAAAACACAGAGACAACTGTCACTACAACATCAAGAAAGCAGAACTGTATTAGCAGAGCTAAAAATACATCTACACCGAAGTGTGGCAGCACCTCAGAGAAACCCGAGAAATCTCTAAACAAGATGGTGTGGAGATACAGCACAGGAAAATGCCAAATAAGGATACTATCTGGCTTCCAAAGCAATATGACCACTTTAGAAGAGACCTGTGACCATATTTCCTAAGTATCCTGCATGCTTCTTGCTCCAAAATTAGTTCATTCTCAATAAACTGGAAATTACCATCACAGATCAAATTGCAAAAAATAGATATCTGTTTTAAGGTGAAAAAAACACAAACAACAAAAAGATGGAAAAAAGAAAGCCTAAATACCACCCCTCCACCACCCTCTAGAAAAAACCCAGCTGTGATTTAGGAAGACTCTTACCATCCTAGACAGTTGAACACTACCATGAGAAAGGTAGCAAGAAGTAATCACTGTAACAGTAGGGAAGACAGGATAAAAAATAGAATGCATGTTCTAAATTTCTTATACATAATTTGATCACTTTGGAATCTCATAAGACTACACACACCAAATGAAACTCCCGATCATCTGAAGTATTTTTGTGGTTTCACAGAATTACAAAACCATAAAGTGTATTGAAGCAGTAAGAAGCCATGTCAAAGCGCTGTTCTTACTCCATGCTTGCTTGAATTTTACTCCACATTGGACAGTGTTAACCACTTTCAGCACACGTGAAATTGCTATACTTACTACTCCCCACCACAGGGCATCTGCATAGCTGCCAAACTCTGTTTCTCCAGAATCGTTTACAGCATCTTTCTCGGCCAGGTACACAAAATAAGAGGAAAAAATCAGGCCCAGAAATCCAATGTAGAGAGTGGTTATCAGTTCCTGCAAGGAGAATAAAAATAATGGCATTATGATATCACTGAGACACTTAAACTACCTAGCGCTGATGGATTATAAAAGATAATTGCAAGAGCAGAATGCAATTTCAGCAATTAATAAACATCGACAACTGCCTGTTGGCTGTGAAAATGGTGAAAATATTTACAGCACAGCTGATGACTTGGCCCAGCATGTGCCTTACCTACATGCAGTCAGAGCAACCTCTTCACTTTACAAGCACTAAACCACTTCTGGTCCCCAAAAAGTAATTGGACAACTTTTTCAAGCAGTGCCAGATTCAAAACAACTTCAGAATTTAGATACCTATTTTAAGAAATATTCAGACTAGTTTTCGGAAGTGTCATCTTCTGTTGTTAAGTCCAACTACAAGTCAAAATCTGCCAAAGTCAGTGAATATTTTTAATCTTTTAGGAAATTTTTTTCCCCTTGAACAAGGCAGAACATCCATACTTGGTTAAAATAAATGACTCCACACTAAATACAGCTGACATCATCAGCATATCTGCATATATGCTGTTCCGAATCTGAGGACATTTGCATCGACGGTGCCATTCCTCAGCCTCCTCAGTACCTGTTCATACCTGTCTGTGTATGAACACCACTGATCCCAGCAGCCTCCACGTGCCCCCCTGACGATCAACATGCAGCATTCGTAAAATCTGCAGAAAACGGATGCCCCTGGAACAAAATTTTGGAATTAATGAAGACACTAAAGATGCTAGAGAAGAAACAATGTTGGAGAGGGGAAGTCCGTGTCTTCCAAAGCACCATCTTAAGAGACATAGAGTATTTTATGTTAGACTTGGCACCTATCTCTTTTCACTCCATTCACTGATCTTTCATCCTGTTTGAAGCCATCTTCCAAGACAGCCTGGAAAGATTGTGCAAGGGAAGGACTGACCCTTTTACGTAAGGCCAGTAAGGGTATCTCAAGGATTCAGGAATTTTGGACACAAACAGAGAACGTTCTAGAAATCATTCACTAGATAGGAAACAACAAGCAGAACCAGCTAACTGAAGAGCTGATTTCCTTACCTTTGAGGAATTTCATAGGCAATTTGAACCAGACTGTCCATTAATATTTTAAAACACTGTTTATGGGAGTCACTGCAATCCTTGGGTGTTGCTGCAGCTAATGTGCAGAGCACAGTACAGTGCCATGTACTTTCTCATTCAAGAAAACCAAGTGATGTGACCTCCCTGAGCACAAGGTGGATTCAGGAATTCACAGCCACTAACCCCAGGCATTTTATGAAGAGGCAGCCTGAAGACATCAGAGATACAAAGCTTGAAAGGGCTGCTATGAAACTGAGTCAAGAAACTAAAACAGGATTTGGGTAGAACCCATCTCACTGGGAAAAGGGGTAGGGGTACATGCACCTCTATCCCCACCAGTCATGAATGCATTACAACAAGATTTTATTTCCCCTGCACTTAGTGGGATCACTGTTTCACACATGTACATGACTGCTGATCTGCTTTTTTACAGGACACTGACCAGTGACTTGTTTTCTCCTGCAAGAATTGAAGCAGAAGGTAAAAAAAAGAACCCCACCTTACTCAGATAGCAACACTTTCTTTTATTGCACATCAATTACCTGATAGCTGAGGTTGCAAAGACTTGACCTTTAGAGCCCACACAAAGAACTATCATGGAAGCAACAACAACAATTAAATCTGGAAAATAAAAATCAATTGAAAAAATTAGTTAGCAGCATCTTGCAATATTTCTGCAAGAATGTTACTAGAACCAACTCCAATATTACTTTAACAAATTGAACAATCACTCCTAATTGATATTTTTGTTCATATAGCAAGAGATCTCTATTGTAGCATGTAAAGAAAATATAATATTGAGATATGATAGAAAAATTTTACTGGGATGATTCCAAGGCAGCCACAGTCTAGATGAATTAAGAGTTACTCTAAAGCAGCCTGCAATTCTTATTAGCAGGAGGAATTTAGGTAGTTTCTACCTATTCTCTCTTCTGTGTGTTTTATTTTCTTTTCTGTGTTAGACAGTCTTTTCATTGACAGAGACTTGAGATTTTCATATATAAGAAAACTGCCTTACTACCATTTCATCTCTCCAGGTCTAAAAGGGAGATAAAAATTGGAATTAATGTATGACTCTAATTTAGTTTAAGTCAGTCACAACTGTACTCTAAATCTCTGTGGTTCAGGACTAGTTAATTTTGGAAAGGAACTCTGTATTTTGGAGAATTAAATAGCTCTTGATCCATATCTGGGAAAGCTGAACTGTGTTTTGCTTTCCAGACTGTTAAATTGGATAATGTCTCAGAACCCATAGTGATCTGTGTCTCAGGAGAAATGGACTGTGTCCAGAGTGCAAAGATACAGGCAAAGGCTTTTTTGAAATGCAGTCACACCTGAGATACAGTTGATATTTTTATATATGTATGGAAGGATGCACAGAGAAGGTAAACTGAACTATTTTACGATTGTAAAAATACCCAGGTATGAAATTTTGTAATTTATATTCAGGAAAATTGTAGATAGTTTATCAAAACCTATATCCTGTATTCAACAACAAATAATGTTTCCAAGTAGTTGAAATAACTATGTCACAGATCAAGAATTATTATTCTTCTATAACAATACTTCTCTTCCAAAATCTGGTTTATTTAGTCCATTTATTTTTTAAGTACTTCAGGACAAGGGTCTTTACATACTTCTCTCAATACTGGCTAACAAAATATAGACTTATTTTGGATTATCATGTTTCTTTCAGGGAAACTGTTAAAGAAATGACAAACATCCTAAAAAAAGTAATCGTTTGTTGCATATATGGAATATAGGAATGTAATTTCCAAGAACACTGAAGTAATTTTAGGAAGCCACCTGAAGTGAATACCAAGGGAAGTCAGGTGTCCAGCTCCACATGCATCACTGAAAACCATATTTTAATTCAACTGATACACAGAGTAACTACAGTGCATCTATTGTGCTCTACCATGCAGTAAACAGCTCAATTAGAGTACAAAATAAACTCATAATAAATTACTCAAATGGCTTCTGGGGGAAGAGGGAGGAAAGGCTGTTCAGTATCTTTAAAAAATACAATTGTAGCTCTTGTGCAGTGTCTGGGATCCTGAGGTCACAGGAGACAGGACCACGGCCAAGACTTATTCCTGGCAAAGCTTCAGATCACTTGTGAAAAGAAAACACTCTGCTCTTCTGGGAAAACAAACCAAGCTGCGTTTGTTCTCGAATGACAGTGCCGTGAATTCCTGAAGGGAAATTCAGATCTACATTCATGCTAATGACAAGAGCTCTCGCTCTAACTTGGCTTCAGCTACTGCAGAAATCCGACTTCTAAAAACTTTCAGGGCAAGTTTTACTCATTGTTTACATCAGCTTTGCAAGCTGTGCATACTCACCAATGATTGAAATAGGTTTCCTAGCAAAACGAAGCCTTCCCCATATTCCAACGTATTTACTGCGGCATCCCGCTGACCATAGCCGAACCACATACTCCGTCCCAAAGAATACCACTAACACAATTTCCTAAAAGAAACAGACAGGGAACTGGGTTAATTCTCTACTGTACGGATGTCTTTCATCTCTTTTCAGAATGTATTAGCAAGTGCTAAATAAAATGTAAAATTAGGAAGGTGGCAAATACGTCAACCATACCAAAATGATCTAAAGTAATATAGAAAAACCTGGAAGAGTAGAGAAAGAAAATATTACGAGCAAATTTAAATACTTTGATCACATGCAGTTTAGCTTGTCTACACGTGCTAAAACTGAAAACCATGCTGTGCCATTCACTTTGTCTAATTCAAACAAAAGGTTTCCTGACTGAGGAAAAAAAAAAAAAAAAAACCAAGCACAGATTAGTATTTTGCTAGCTTATTTCATTTTGGGAAGAGCTGTGTTTCACATTCCATTTACCAGATTAGTGTTACCACCCTCTTATTTACACTTGTTCAGTCTTCCTTTAATCTCACATGAACTGAAAAAAGATTTCTAGTACTCAGCACCAATATTTCAGTCTTCAGGTGCACTGAAAATACAGTGAGATCTCTAGAACATCTTTCCCATCCTCTTGCCAATGTTTACGGACTTCATCAGAAACAGAGATCTTAGTTCTGAAGCATGGCTAGTATCAAGCTACTTGTAAACCACAGATCTAAGCTAAGGTATGGCTTTGGAAATGCCTGCAAAGTGATAGCTGTCAAAGACATCTGATATTCTTGTTGATTAGACAAAGGTACAGTTATGTCTTATTAGGAACATGGTCAATGCATAGGTAAACCTCGATTTTGTACAGACCAGGTGAGCATGGCATACTCAGCTTATAGTTTCCTTGAGCTGCAACACTTCCTTATTGGCCACTAGTCACATTCTCTACCAGAGCCAACAACAAAATCTATTTGTTGAAATGGTAAGAGTGGTTTGTAATTGAAAACACAGAACACATGGCATAAAGAAAGAGTACAGCTGAGAAACCAACCTCAAGGTATCACGGTTACATATCATAATGCAGATTAAGAGAACGAACTGCTTATTTCAAAGTGTGATTTAATATAAAGAGCAACTGCAGGGAAGACAATGTGCTGCTGAACATCTTGTCCAGCACCCTCACATTTCTGTAGATTCCACTGCTGTTTTGCATAACAGATTTTCAAACAGGGCTTAGGATTGTACCTACAATTATTTTCTAAACTAGTTGAAATAACCAGAACACAAACCTAGTCCAGTCAAGATGAATGGGAATCATATGATCAGCTTCAAAAATGAAAGGGACATTGTCCTGAATATCGAGCCCTAAATTATTGAAGTTCAACTCTGTGACACTTTCAGAAAAGCTGGTAAAACATGAGCCAGGATCCTTCCCTTAGTTTTGACAATCTCGTAACCTACGCAAGCTGTCAGATGCAGTAGAACAGCTATCGCAATTGTTTATAGTCACCTGTATTCAAGTTAGACTTTTAAGATATAATGAAACTATCCAGATCATCGGTTGTAATAAACATGAAGCTCAGACCCTTTGACCCAGCCAAAAATCTCTTCTACAACTTCCTTCTGAAAGAATCCACCAGAACCTTTTGCCTTTTTTATTATTTGGATTATCATTCATTTTTTCAATAAAATAAAAACATAATGAACAACATAAATCTTAAGAAACAGCACCCACAGCATATCCCTTAAGGAAAGCCTGTGTCTTATGACAGAAGCTTCAAATGCAATGAAACTCTCCCTTTGCCCAGTCCAATGTCATTTATGAACCACCAGTGAATGGCAAAATCCTGAGCTCTGCTTGATATGACGTGCTGTCGAAGTGTCACAGAAAATAAGCACCAGAGGCAATCTTTTCCAATCAAGTGATTGTATTCCTTTCACAGACCTGGTCAATAAACCTTAATATCCAAGTGCTCTTCTGTATGCAGACAGCTAATACATCTCCTTTCACCATGACTGTGAAGGAAATGCCGTTAACAAAAAAAAATACTGACCATATATGGAGCAAAAACTCTCCATTCAGAGTAACTCATCTGAGGAAGGGATGTATGGCTTCACATCATATGTGATAGCACAGTTAATACTGTTCAGATACCCCCAAAAGCAACTACTAAAAGCAAAAGAACAAGAAAAAAAACCCCTATCTTGGTAGGTGAAGCAAAACCCAGAGAAAAGTTAAATGTTTTAGCACAATGGAACCACAAGCAGCACTCTGACCAGGCACTGTGGCCTTGTCAGGACCACAGTTTCAGTTTTATAGCACGAAGGTAGGAAGTGAAAGCCTGGATTGTGCTTTAAAGGCGCGCGTATTCTCTGCGCAGGAAATTTGCATTGGAGTTGTGCGCGTATGTTTTTTAAAGGCCCTCCATGGTTCACTGGATAACAGGCACACCGGCAAGTATGCAAATGGGGGCTGTCCCAAAGACAATGCGACAGACACGCAGTCAATGGTTACTGTCATCCAGCTCTTTGCCTGACATGCAGACAAGCTTAGAGAACATTGATTGTCCTATAGACTCCGGTGACTGGAGGGAACGACCAGTCGGCTTACACCAAGACACATTTTTCACTCCTGACGTTTTGATAAAGGCTTATTGACCTAAATGAGATCCAAGTTATTCAGGGAACATCGGGGGTGAAAGTGCACAAGCTGTTCTTCATGGTCATACACAAAAACGCCAGGTATCCATTAGCAACTGGCAAATTCCCCCTCCCCTGCCCGTGGCTGTGTGACAGACAAAAGTGTTTTTAATATCTTGTGTTGCATAAATCTAATAAGTAGTCTCCTGGGGATGGGGGAGGCTGATGATTTCTGTCTGCACACACTTACATTAGTGACCAGAAACTTGCAGACAACAAGAAAAAAGTATATTAGAAAATTATGCCTTCCTGAGCTAATAAAATATTGCCTGCATTTTCCCGATTAACAGCTTAACATGAAACTTATATGCACTAGAAGAATGCCAACCTGATCCTTAGTTCACTTATGCTGGTGGCAATCAGTGCTAATTGAGCAGCAATACCTCAAATCTGAGAGCTTCAGCAAATCTGAGCTGTACTACAGATTAATTTGGCCCACTCTTCAATATTTTCTCCTTAATGCCCACCTAACACCTACCTACCAAGAGCACTGTATAAACCCTTGTGCTTCTTTCAATGAATCATCTGGAATGAAATGAGGCTTCAAAAAGCTGACATGTGAAAACAGAAAGAGGCAGTGCTGAGAGGACACAGCGGATGTACAGAATGAGCTAAATAAAAAACAAAGCAATATTTAGCACAAGGGAAAATTAAAATACAGAGGAAAATAACTGCCTGCAAAACACTACTGAGCATGGTAATTAAAGCTCAGTGATGGGGTTTTCTTGGTTGAAATTACATACACACGAGAACTACACTGTGCAAGGATCCATTCAACCCTATGTAACTTAATTGTGATTTTCTTTGTATAAGACAAAAATAGAAATACAACACTGAGATTAAAAACTTATATATATAAGTATATAACTTGGTATAAAGAGCCCTCTAAGATATGACAGTCATGTACATACATGGGCATACAGGGTCCACCTGACTTAAGAGGAGATACTTTTTTTTCCTTTTAGTTATTGATTTGTACACGGTACCCTCACTTCTGCCATCCTTCTTGCTCAGCCAAGGCATATTCTTAGTGCCATTTTCAGGCCTCCTCAGCACATAATCCCAACACAGGCAAGTACCAGATTAAACCTGAATGAAAAGGTAGAGAGGATGAACATGAAACACACATGTAGATCCCTTTCTTGAAGAACTCTATCAGTGTCATCACGTCTTCAGCCTCCAACAACTTCTTGCATGTAAACTCACAAGAATTTCAACTAAAAGGAACAGGGAGATGAGTATAACAAGCCTTGGGCCTTTCTACTGAGGCATAGTGCTTGGTGAAACTACAATAGATCTCCAGGTAGCCATTTACCAGATGCCAGGGAATCTGGCATTTCTCATAATTTCTCATAAATACCAGTAAAGGAACTGGAGTCCTCACTTATGCACTGGTGCAGGAGTGGTGTCAGCATGTGGGATACACTTCAGAAGTCTCATGACAGATTTTTTTTCAGTGCATCTTACTACTAAATTCACAGTTTTAACATGGAAACAGAAGTTCCTTTGAGCTGATCAGGTACTACGTGAACAGCCTTGGGAACTGCTTCAAGTATAATGGAAGAGCCAGCAGAACCTTTAGCCCAAGAAAGATATGGCATAACTTAATCACCTGGCTACAATACAGCTCTCATCATCTGATGAAGGCACTTAGGCAGGATCAATAAAAACACAGTTGACTGACAAATATACCCATGCTATCTGTCATCACAGCCCATACCTCCACAGTCCCCAGAGTATTTTGCTAATAAATGCATCATAAAAAGCCCTTCCTATACTACTCAACCCCCACTGGATTGGAAGAGCTACAATGTTGGGAGGCATCCAACATCTGCACTGTGAAATAAAGTACAGTAGCAACTCCAAAAGGAAGGACAGAGTCCTGAAACTTAGCTGAAGAGATGTTTTTAAGCAATTAGACAGATTAATAGCTTGGGGGAAGTAAAAAAACACAACAAAATTGACAGGAAATGGATCATGACACCATAACAACAACTATTTACAGATAAGTTAATTGTCTCTGGAGGCTGAGAAAGCATCTGCATAGAGAATACATTGCCTGAGGCTCTGCCTGTAGACCTCAAAGCTGTAACTGGTCATGGAGCATCACGGATGTTCATGCAACTGTTTGATGTGGGAGGGCTAGATGAGGTCATCTGAAATCTGTTAGGAACAAGAATGCCTTTACTCCAAGTCTAGACTTTTTTCGAATGAACTCCATAAATGTAAGAGAGTAAAATACATATTTTAGGAGCAAGGAGGCAAAGCATACCACTGTGTTGTTCTGATTGGCTGTTGAAGACAACATACAGCTTACTGCATTTGCCATACAGGTGTCTGCCCTAAGAGAAAGGAGAAATGACAAGCACAGGAAAACAAGAGGCATTGGTCAGGGGGAC